TTGTCAGAGACGCAATTAGTAGAAACTCAGTAAGTATTTGTTGAATGAACGAATGAATGAATGAACTTCAAGCTCAAATCCCATCCTCTCTAAAGACATTCCTAACCTCTTTAGCCACAGTGATAAATCCCTCTCTTGAGAGGCGCCTGGATGGCTCAGTCGTTAAGTGTCTGCCTTCCACTCGAGTCATGATTCCAGGGTGTTGGGATCGAGCCCCGCATTGGGCTCCCTGCTCGGCAGGAAGCCAGCTTTTCCCTCTCCCACTCCCCTTGCTTGTGTTCCCTCTCTCACTGTGTCTCTCTGTCAAATAAATAAGTAAAATCTTTAAAAAAAAAAATCCCTCTTTTGAACTTGAGGCACTTATTGATGGTACCACTCATTTATTCCATGGAATCATAGATCCACAGAATTCTATAGGAGTTCAGAGGTAGCAAGCTTTATATTGTAAATAACGTCTGTAATTCACTGAAATAAAATTTTTGCTTTTATTTTTGTGAATACCATCATTAGTGATGGGGAGTTAATCTATGAAGTATTTTGAACAATCTTTGGACTTATTTGTATGTGTCGAGATTTTTCTGATGTTTAGCAGAAATTTACATTCTTGTGATTTTCAAAACAAATTTGGTTCCTAGGCATAAAAGAACAAGCAACAAGCCCATTCTTTTTACTAATGCTGGTCCTTCAGATTGTCGAAGACTGCTCTCTTATACAATCAAAACACAGCCCCTCCTTCAATTACTGTTTTTATGCTGTGGTTTTTAGCTCTTTCATCATCCTGATTTACTCTCCTGTCAACTGACTCTAGTTTGTCAATGTCCTTTTTTTAAATTTCATTTTAATTTATTTATTTGACGGAGAGAGAGAGAGCACAGCAAGGGGAGCGGGAGAGGGAGAAGCAGGCTCCCCAATGATCAGGGAGCCCGATGGGGGGCTTGATCCTAGTACCCTGGGATCATGACCTGAGCCAAAGGCAGACGCTTAACCGACTGAGCCACCAAGGCGCCCCAGTCAATGTCCTTCTTAAAATAAAATTACTTTTGTTACCAGTAATTTTATTTTTTTAAGTACGCTATTTAAATGTCATAAGATGGTAGTATAAGACTTAAAATTTCTATAAATTTAGAGGTTCCTCTAAGAATAAATTTGTGATGATTCTTTAAATCTTTAAGTTCAAAAATTTGAAAAGCTAACTTTAATTAAGTAATAGATATATTTTTCTGGCAGCTGTCAAACGGTTGTTGGAGGATTGCTTAGATCACATAACCAAATCTATTCCTTATAGCTTAAGATTATCTGGCTTGCTCTGACCACTTGCTAGTTGAACTTCAAAAGAATTTAAACAAATAAATAACAAAATACCACGCTTGTTTTGGTGTGAGGAAAAAGTTTAGTCCTATGGCTATTACCTGCTAGGAACTAAACCCAATGTTTAATAATAATAATCAGCTCTTTCCTGGGCTCAACAAAATGTTTGATGTGGTTGGTACAAGCCTCTGATGAGGGTATTAGCCTTCATTTAAAAACGATCATTAGTTTGAGTTGGCATTGCAAACATTACTAAATTGCTGATAATATCCTTCATTACCAGGCAAGAATTGTCCTTTTCAGTCCTGTACATATAATTTATCATCCATGCCAAGAATATTATAAGAAATTGTAAAGTAGCTTAATCGTTCAGTCTCAAAAGAAGGCAATGAATCCTACAGAAGAAAAAGTAGCAAATAAAATAGAATTATATAGAAATAAGTTAGAAAACGTAAGGAGGGCTTGAGCTCCTCTACTTCTGAAATGGTTTTACTATCTGGCACATAGTTATGATCATTAAATGTTTGCTAGATGAATAAAAATGTTCAAGCGCTAGGGATAATTCTACAGTGGGGACAACAAATTATAAGGAAGGTAGTTGGCTTAACCAGAATATCTTGTAATTTATTTTCAATTTCAATTTCAATTTTTACTATTTATTTTTATTTATTTTTAAAGATTTTATTTATTCATTTGAGACACAGATACAGAGGGAGAGCATGAGCAGGGGGGAAGGCAGAGGGAGAGGGAGAAGCAGGCTCCTCGCTGAGCCAGGAGCCCGACGTGGGGCTCGATCCCAGGACCTTGTAATCATGACCTGAGCTGCAGGCAGGTGCATAACCATCTGAGCCACCCAGGTGCCCCTACTATATTTTTAATTTCAACATTTTTGAGAACTCAATATGAGTTCAACATAGCACTATGGTCATTAAAAATACTCAAATATTTTAACATTGTGTAATTTAATCTCTTATTATCCAAATTTATATATTATAAATTACTTCTTTTTTCTCTTTCCTTCCTTCCTTCTTTCTTTCTTTCTTTCTTTCTTTCTTTCTTTCTTTCTTTCTTTC